CTCAAGGACTTCGTCTTCAAAAACATAGTGTGCCACTATGGAATTCCTCATACCCTCATCTCTGATAACGAGAAACAGTTCGACAACGAGGAATTCAAGCAATTTTATGATGAGTTGGGGATCCATAAAAAATTCGCCTCAGTCGCAAGACCACAAGCAAATGGCCAGGTTGAAGCTATCAACAAGACTATCAAGCATACTTTGAAAGCCAAGCTTGGCACTACCAAGGGTAATTGAGCCGATGACCTCCCAGAAGTCTTATGGGCATACAGGACAACTCTGAGAACCTCTACTTTGGAAACACCCTTCTTGCTAGCATATGACTGCGAGGCGATGATCCCTGTGGAAGTAGGGTCTGGTTCACTTCGGAGAGACCTGTTCAATGAAACAGACAATGAAGCACTTATGCGCGCAAGTCTGGATCTAGTTGAAGAACATTGCAGCAAGACTCAACTAAGGATAGCAGCCTACCAACAGCGCGCGAAAAGGTTCTTCGACTCTAAGGTTAGGAGAAGAGACTTCTAGGTCGGTGACCTTGTTCTGAAAAAAGTCCTTTTCGGTACAAGAGAACCAAGTGCGGGAGCGTTGGGGCCAAATTGGGAAGGCCCATACTGCGTCGCTAAGGTGATATGACCAAGGACTTATCACTTTAGAAGACTTAACGGTTCCGAAGTACGATGAGCTTGGAATACTGAACATCTTCGCCCCTATTATTAGTAATTTCGAACTCATTTTCTAATTTTTCTTGTATAGACTTACTCTTTTAAGCCTTGTAAATAAGATAAGCTCTTATGTAATATTGTTTCTTGCATGTGTGCCTTTTTGTTTGTATGTATCATTTGTACAAATACTATTGCAAATAGTTAGAAAGTGATATTGTGCCCACATGTGTAATATTTGTGATGTACGAAAAATTATAAGTACTCACGAATGATTAAAAAAAAAATTTCTTTATTTATTATAACTTAAAAAAGCGAGTACAGATTTGCGAGCACAGAAAAAATAATGAAAAGCAGAAGCAGAAATCGTCACTGGCCTTCATTCCCAGGACCCGAAGGTGCGACCTCAATATCTCCAGGCTGGTTACCGTCAGCCGTCGGTCCTTCTGGAACATACTTTTCTGGATGCTCATCCTCCGGATCAGGCTATTGACCTTCCTTCTCGTCATCAGCCTGTGCCATGGAAGCGAGGATCCTCTGATAGTCATCCAGGAGGTCGATGAAGTCTATGATTGGATTCTTTGGTCAAAGGGCATAGATGGACTGGATCGACCAGTCGGCAGCTCTTCTCTCAATTTCTAGCTCTTGTCGCTTCATCTATTCGGTTAATGAAGCGACATGCCCCTGGGACAATTGGAGTTTTGCCTCAAGTGCCCACCTTTACTTCTCGGAAGTTTCCCACAACTGCGTTCTGTTCTGCTCTGCTTGCAAGGCCCGCTCGGAGTTCGTTCGTAGCTCCAACTCTTTCTCGCCAGCCTTTTTGGTGACTCTGGCCATTGTCCTTTGGAGCTTTTTAACTTCCTCTCCCCTCTTTTCTAGCTCGATCTTCTGGAAATCCATCGTGCAAAGCGCAGCATTCCTCTCCGATAGATATTGGTTCGTTTGAACGGTGGATAGGTTCATCTCTGTCTATACAGCTTTTAAGTCCCGTTTTAGTCAGATGTTTTCTTCCCTCAGCCCGACGAGCCCCTATACGGCTCCCAATTGAATCTTTTGCTGGGCCAAGTGCATGGCGAGCAGGGACTGCATAGCGAAGGGAATAGGGGGTTAAATTCCTTTTCATTAAAAAAGTAAGGGAAATATAAGAAATTCCTCGATGAGGACGAACCCTTTTACCTGGCTTTGCAGCTGAAATGCCATGGTCATCATGTCCACGGGGTTGGAGGCCACAAACTGCTCAAAAGCTTCAGTGAGTTGGCACTCTAGCAGGGTGAACATTACTGGCTATAAATTCTTTAGGAGTTGCCCCATAGAGTCTAGCACGGGCGTGCCCGTGCTCACAGCAGGTGATGTCTCACCCACTAGCTCTTTGCCTGCTCTCCTCATAGGAGCCGCGACCTTCCCTTTCCCCCTATGCGGACCCTTAGAGGCAAGTGTAATGTTGATCGTGCCCCTGGGGGGTCCTCTTGAGCGGAAGGCCTACTAAGGCTGCGACCCCTTGGGCTAAATGCCCAAACCCTCTAGCTCGGACTCTGACTGCTCAACCCAAAGCTGGTTCCTCTTCTTGGAATTCTGGGCTATAGGTTTTTGCTTAGGTCGGGCAGTCGTGGGTTGGGGAGCATCTACTGGTCGAGCCGATGCCCCCGCCGACGTTCCTCTGATAGGGAAACCGTTGGGGGTTGCTGCAGCTGGTCCCGTGGCACCGACCTGAGGAAAGGTGAACTCCTTCGCTCCAAGCGACCTGGGCACCTTAGGTGGCATGGTTGCTGCATGCGAATATCGTTAGCGAAATAGTTCGCTACATGCAAACAATAAGGTTGGCTAAGGTTATAGACACTTACTCAATGAAGATTCTAAGGTCACTTCGGGGTGGAAAAAGCCGTATTTTCGTAGGTTGGCCGTTGTCATAAGCAGCCTCGTGTCACGACTCTGTTCGGGTAGAAGACCGAATGCGGTTATTTTGTTGAAGTCAACGAGAGCCAACAACCTGGTCGTCTTGTTTATTGCGAAGAAATGGAAGAGTTCATTAGCAAAGATTAAAAGAAAGAAAATTTTCCAAGTAAAAGAAAGGAAGACCTACTTGGCTCCCTAAAATGGCAAATGCCATCATAATGGAAAATGAAAAATTTCTTCTCATATGCCTCGATGTTACTGGGGTAACTATGTATTCCTCCCTCGATCGTAGATCGCTTTGGGAGGTAAAAAGAGTCCTTGTCTTTGCTCTTCTTTAAGTAATACGAGCAGCCGAGCTCTGGCGCGGTTAGCTTGCCAAAGACCGTTCTCACTGCATGTGATATACATAGCCACGACTATCATATACGCGTTTGGCATTAGTTGTAAAGGTACAACCTCGAAGTGATCGAGGATCGACCTTATGAAAGGATGAAAGGGAATCAGTGCTCCACATTTAAAAATGTTCTCGGGGATCGCAGCCATTCCTTTTGGCGGATTCCAAGCTATATATGTCCTGTGTTGGTAGACATCTACTCTAATTGCGTATTGGTCGACCGCTTTTTGAATTTTCTCTCCTGTGGCTATTGGCAGGATTTCCTGTGAGGGACCCGTTAGGGCGTCCTGCACTGGTAAGCTCGTTCCCTCGTCCGTTCTAGTCGTTGAAGGGTCAATTTCTTCTGTAGTCTGAAAAAGAGCGACATGCAGGAATTACTCAATCGTCGTACAAAGTTTTGTATGATGACGTGGAAGAAAAGATAAACACTGTCTTCCTTAAACCCTAGAAAACAACCCTAAGAATCCTTGGGGACCACCCCTAAAGATTCAAACGCTAGAAGAAAGCCAATTTTCTGTTCAACCACTGCAAACACCCACCATTATTGCATGGTTATCTAAACAGCAGAAAAAAGGAAGTAATTGAGGGATCTTCCTTACCTCTTGAGTGTGGGGATTGAACTTCTTGCCAAGAACGTCGAGTGACATCGATTTGAAGGATGGAAAATCTGGTCTCATGAAAGCTTCTTGCTTTTTCTGAATAAGTGAAAGTTGTGACATTGCTTAAGGTGAGCTTGGGATTTTACAGTAGAGGAAGTGGCGATTGGCTTTCCCGAAGCCAAATGATGTTTGGATGGAAATCATCTCTCGCCGTTGATCACGATTACGTGTCATCAATCAGCGGGAAGGAGTAATATCACGCTTCGAGAAACCCAATCGTCGCTTCTCTCCATTGAAACAATCGAGCGATGGCTCGTTTCCCTTCTCCACATTAAATGTGCTCTCATCCACATTTAATACTTTGATAATGAATGTCGTTTCAGCATAGCTTACATTTAATGTGCATGGCTGGCACTTATTGTGCATAGGACATGTTTTTCAGAGTAAAAGGTATTTCATTAATGGATTAGTTGCCAAAGCACAACGGATAACATCTGAAGAGGTCGTTAGGGCACAACACTCTTCGTCGTATGTCAGTTGCAAAGCGATGTGACTCCTTGCCTTCAGCAAAAATGCGCTAAGTATAACTAGGTCGCGGACCTCGGTCAAGATAAGAGGCGCATCCATATGGCACTGAATAAGTTCTGGTCCAGGTCGTAGACCTTGCAGAAGGAGACCATTTTAGGTCGCCCATATGGAAATAACTTGCGACCTCCTTATAGTCAGGTTGGATCAATCGGGCGTCATTCGGAACATATCAAATCAAGGCATAATTGTGAAGTTCTCAAGGTTTGATTCTCAAACCTTAAAAACTAGGGGACTTCTGTTATGCCTGAAAAGGTAAGGTGCCGCAGAGTCTTGTCAGCATGGGGTGGTCAGAACTTAAAAAGGTTCCACGACCACTCAGATGCGGCCATATCACATGATGACGTGAGTGGTATGCTCTTGCCAGTGCAGTGGGTGAACACTAGGTTGGCGAATGGCTGGAAACCGCCCACATGTCCGATCCCTGCACAAGTCGAGGAAATCACTCGGGCAGGTGAGCAATGGGATGTAGAGAAGGATTTGCACGATATCCACCCCGCTTGCAAATTTAGTAATCATTACCTTGATTCATCCCACTATAAATAGAGGCTTTCTCTCTCATTTGCGGGATTGACTAATTTCACTCTAGAATAACATACTCTTCCCAACCCCCCCCCTCCCCCCCCCCTCTCTCTCTCTTTTGTATTCTCTAAGCTATAACTCAGCTCGCTGAACGCGACCTGATCTTACTTTCATTAATACAATATCAGTGGACGTAGGATTCGCTTTTGAGCATCCGAACCACTTTAAACATTGTTCTTCACCCTTACCAAATTAAATACTTCCATAATCACGTGTGACTTCTAATCCCGCTTAGCATTTCTCACGTGCAAATAGTTGGTGTCAAAATTAAGCATCAACACCTCCCATGCTGAATAAGTACACAGAGCTCGTTAAAATCTTCTTGGCTTCTCGCTCACTTTTCTTTTCTACTAATAAAGTTACCACCTTCTTGAAATTCTCCAACTGTGTGTTCAGATTCATCTGAAAAGTGAAGACCTCATTTTAGATGTATTACAAAAACATAGCATAGTTTAGTTAATATATTGACTTGATAATATTTTCACGTTGTATTGGTATGACTTTTCGGTATGAATTTTCTGTCCAAATAATACATAAATTGATCCCTATAGTGAGGGAATTTAATTCAAGTTGACATCATTTTTTTTAATAACTTGGAGTGTCTGAACCAACTTATGCGCATGCACCTCAACTAATTCCCTGGGGCCTTGAAAATCTAACTAGGTAATCCTTTAGTTACCATCCCTATTAGGGTTAGGGGACATGAACTCAGGAGCTTGGGGAAACTCTTTTTGCTCTTTTACCATTAGGCCACCCAATGGTAGTTGGTAGCGTGTTGAATGCTCCAAATTAATAATCTTCCTAACCTAACTACTGAATTGTATATAGGGTAATCAAGGGTCGATCCCACAGGGAATGATTCGATTAATTTCTATATTCTAAAACAATGAAAACAATAGAAAAATAAAATAAAACCCTAAACAGTAAACATGACAACAGTAATGAAAGGGGTTGTAGTCAAGGCAAACTAAATGAAACAAAGAAATCTCTAATGGTAGAAAATATTAGGTTAAAAGCAATCAGTTCTCAATTTAAGATCCATCTAAACATGCATTGGACATGAACTAACCGTAACACTATTCTATCTCGTTATTATGGAACTACTGACCCTAGGAAACAACAAGCTCTGTTACCTAAATTTTCCTTTAATTGTCACTCCTGAAATAAGCTCTCCAAGTAGATCCCAACCCTTTAACAACCTAGAATAAGCTCTCTAAGTTTAAGTCAATGGCAGCCTTAAGAATGAGGAAAATAGATCAATCTAAGCAACAATCTCGCAAGCTTGGATTATTTAACTTAGGTTATGTTATTCAAGATGACAGATTGAAAACTTGTCCATAATCATCTATCATCATATGTTACTCCTTTAATAGAAAAAAGACAATTGCGTATCACAATTCCTAATTCTAACAGGTAAAATTCCAATTAAACAATTTAGCAGGCCAAAACTAAATCACTCAAACAAGAATCATAAACAATTAAAACAGAATAACATAAAAAATTTCAATAAAAACGAGATTAAGAACAATGTTACTGAAGTCAAGTTACACCAATGACATGAATTTAGGCTTCAAAATCCCCTTGAACTGACGAAAAAAGATCAGCCACACATCTTGACCTAGAAAGTAAAAAAAAACTAAAAAACAAAAATCCACTACCATCCCCCCTTTGGTTAACCTCACACTCCTCAATAAATAACATGTTTTTCTCTTAATTCTACCCTAGGAATCATGGAAAATCTTTCCTAGACATTTCCTAAAAGATAGACTTCCAGATTTGTCAAAATCTTATCAGATATGGAAAACAGAATTCATCTCCAGCTTGCACCAGGATTTTCGCAATGTAAAAGATCTTTTCTGGGCTAAATCACCTCATAAACATTGTAGTCCCGGATGTGTAGATGAATCTGGGCTTTTGAATCACTTGCTTTCGATATCTGACACTCTAGTTAGGCCCGTTCGAAGATTCAATACTCAGCCAGGAAATCCTTCCACGACTAGGATTCCAGGTCCGGCTTTGTAACAACTAATGAGGACCCAAACAAAGTCGGATTCTCACCCATAATACCTTTCTTGAAAGCTTGATTTGTCCACTTTACTTTTTCTGAAGAACACTTTTGCAATCAAGAAATCTGACTCCATCAAAAACCTGAAAAACGTAGCACTGGTCAGAATAAGAAAAATCTGGAATTTCCTAATCTTTTCTCAATTATTTCCTAAAGTCTATCCAAATATGCCAAACTTATGAAATAAACTCTAATCAACTCAACTAGGCATAAAACATAACAAAAAAAGAATAATATGGAAGGAATAAAAAATATATAATTTCCACTCTATCAGAGTTGCAGTTGACATCATAGATGATGTTTCTATCTCTTTAATTTTTGACCATATATAAATAAAAAAGCCATTTAGAATTCAATATCTTCATCCACTTTCTTTTTAGGTGTTCTGCACAAAAGAGAAACTTAAAACAAGGCATACCACTCCACTACTTTCTCCTAGTACACCAGCTCCAACAGAAGCAAAGTTAATGATTCTTCATCCACCACAAGAAAAAAAAATAAAGGTTAAAAAAATATACCACATTCTCATTACCCCTTTTTGCACACAACCAATCCAAATATGAGTACACAAGGGTACGGGGGTTACAACACATGTCCTACCAAACTTTCAGGACAAACTTTCAGGATTGTTAGTTATGGGCAATTATATAACTAATTTTGTTAAACGTAGTTGTCAAATAGTACTATACTTAATCTATGTCTTTACTATATAAGATAATATTTGCAAGATAAAAAAAATGTGAAAAGCAAACTTTTATGGAATAGAATTCTTCAAGGAAAATGGAACTGGCGGCTGCTTCATCTATACGGAGTCTTCTCTACATATTGCTTCTATTGTACTCTAGCCTTCTTATTGCTCTAGCAAGTTCTCAAGGTGATGAGTCCAGGCGAGCTAATAACAAACATGTTTCCATCTTTGTGTTTGGAGATTTGCTCGTTGATCCAGGAAACAATAACTATCTCTCTATTAGCATGGATGACAAGGCGAATTTTACACCATATGGAGAGAGTTTTTTTGAATATCATATCTGACTGGAAGATTCTGCGATGGCCGTACCGTTGCTGACTTTGCTGGTATGGTAGATAGCTGGTGAATTACGATTATTGAAAGAATAGCATGCATGCATGAAGAGTGGTGGAAATGGAGAAGAAAGCATAAAAAAAAAATGGATTCAAGAAAACGGTTTTAAAACAAAGCTTGAGAAGAAATTATACCTACTCCTTTGCTTTGGATTGATGAAGATTAGCTTCAAAAGGATGAAACCTCCACACTTTAACACCACCTTGAGAGATTAGAGAGTGGCCGTGGGTTTGAGAGAGAGTTTTGGTTTGTGTTTTTGTGAACAAGTCAAGAATGAACAAAAATGCAACCTTTTGCACTTATATATACTTGGGCAATTGGTGGTCTGAATTCGTTATTTTTCACTCCAAGCCCATAAAATCTTATTTATAAGGGGAACCCATGAATTTAATATGCTACCCTTTGAATAATCAATATTATTCAAGGGCCCATGTAAACTAAACTAGTTTACATTAACACCTATAAATTTACCCTTTTTTACCCTTTAACTATTAAAAGGTTATTTTTGTTCATCTCATTAATCTTAACACTTTAAGATATAAAATAAATATAATTAATTATTGCTTGACCATTTAAACCCTTAAAATGTCACAAATGATTTCTATGTAACTATTATTATAGAAATCCCTTATTACCCTCGGAAGGTGCTAGCCCTCTTCGGATAATCATTTCTCTCTCTCATCCTTCTCTAACTTCTCAAGGCTATTGGTGTGACCATGTAGGTCCACCGTGGATTAGCCGTGAGCCGGTTCTAGATGAATCCGAAAACCTGTCCGGAGGCCCAACGACTATGGTAAACATCTAGCAATGTGCCATAGTCCCTAAACCACGATGAAGAAATACTTCATCGAACCCATTTCAGATCATACGTACCATGCAGGTAAAGTCCCTCCATTGAGATATCGTAATCGAGTATGGATTCATGGAACGTCAAAATCCTAAACTCGATCTTCTACCGAATCGTCGATCAATATGTCCAGAACTTGTCATCACAAACTTGCTTTTGTATGACTAATAATAGACCTGGCTAGAGATTCGTTTTCTGACATTTATCGATGTTCGTCTTGGAACTCGAATCCTGATGGAGTCAGCGTACTCCCGATCCTATATTTTCGGTCAATGGATCCCCTCTTGACCATTGTTCGTTTTCGCATATGAACAACGCATGACCAAATGGCTTTATGTACAAACATGATTAGTCTCGTACTTATACATCGTATGAACCATACGCATCCATATCGGATCCGACTACAATGTCTCAGGTCAAAGGACTACATCGTGCACTAATATAACCAAACGATAAATCATTGACTACATGCTTTTCCAAGTGATTTGTCGTTTTCGGTCACGTTCGAAAAATAGTTCCACCAACCGTTAATCCATACCAATGCCCCAGTGCCATGACTATCATCGTCATCCGTACTTATATCAACTCATGATACTTTTTCGGAAGGATCCGGTAGCCTACTGTGCAATATAGTTGCCCAAATTATATTGCTTCCGTAGGGAACCCTTTTCGATAATTCATTTACCGATTAAATGAATCATCTGGACAATTCATATACATACTTTATTTTAAATGCATGACTGAATAAAGGAAGCAATTTACATATATGAATTGAAGAACTCTTTCTTCTATTATTTATGATATATATATAGATACAAGACAAAATGCTCTGAAACCGACAACACGAATGGTTTCTAGGGCATACACTAATATACACTAACAATTATGTAGGTCTGTCTCAGAATTAATTGAATTGTTTCATTAAATAATGTAGCAATGTACTTATATTTACCACTCTAGGAACCATACTTACAACCTGGAAGTCATAATCTTAGCGATGGAGCTAATTTTGCAAGTGCTGGAGCTAGTGTTCTTAAAGAAAGTAATCCAGATAGGGTATGTACAAAATTTTATTCAAATGAATTACTATTATTGGGTCAAAATTTTATTCAAATGAATTACTATTATTCAGATAGGGTAGGTTTTACCGTGTTATTATTCTTTATAGTTTTTATTTTTATTTTTTATGAAGGAAATATACGAAATGGGAGGGAGGAATTTTGCATTTCAGAATGTGAGACCTTTGGGTTGCACACCAAGAATGAAACAAGAGTACAATTTTAGTGGTGGTGCTTGTCTAGAAGTGC